GTTTAGCTTAAAAAATGATCTTCATAATAACAAATATCATCTTTCCAAAATTTAACATTCAAGTCAACATGAAACAAGTTGCTGCGCACGATCTTTCATATATGAAGCTGCTCCATAAAGCACAATCCATGTGATAAAATTCAATCACAACTGCCATGTTCATGTAATAAAGCACAAATGCACATCTAACACAAGTAAAACAAAGGTTCAAAGCTTGTATTCAAGAATGTATGGAAGATAAAATACTAAAGCTTGTCATAAAAAATGCATTAGGACAATAAAATTAATTCTTTGAATTCCAGAAATATCATGTGGCTTGACTTGCATCAGGACACATTTATTTTTCATTCCATCTTGCATCAAGGTATGAGTTGGAGAAACTGGACCGATTTTTTTCATCCCATCTTGCATCAAGGTAAGGGTTGGAGAAATCTTGTGGTCTCATTGTTGGCCTGCAAATACGATGATAAACATATTGGTAAACTGACTAAAGTAGTTGATAAAGTTGAATAGGAGGCAACAACAAACGTCACATCAATATTTTGGTTACATCTATCTTAAATAATAATAATAATAATAATAATAATAACACCGATTTGCACTACTTTGCTAAGTGCATTAAATTGTAGGAAATTAGGAAAATGAACATTTCTCTCTTTTTTAGCAAATGTTTGGATAGGATATTTATTAATCTTCCACATTATTCATCTCATTTGGGCTAGTTATCTGGTAACATGTGATTCAGTGAACATGCAACTCCTTCTACTCCTATGTTCTTGGCAACATGTGATTCGGTGAGCAATTTCTCATTATTCATTAATATTTTAGTCAATGTCTGCTCTCTTCTACTCCTATGTGGAATTCACATTTCTACTAATAAACTTACTAGGATCCAGAAGAAGAGCATGATCTTGAGGACGTTCTGGAAGATGATGAAGTAGATGAGGTACTGGATCAACCTCGGTTGTCCGCACCATAAGTGTTCATTCGACAGAATGATGGCTAGGCCACCCTTGATCGTCGAGTGATTCTCTCGGACCTCCTCTGGCAGTTTGATCTATCACATGCTCAAGCTTGGTGCCAACGGCCAGCAAAAGCTACACAAGGAAGCGATGGTAGCCTGGTAATGACTTCTCTCGCTGCAGCTCTCCAATACCTACATAAATTTATGCTTGTATATATGTTCTGGGGTTCAAGGACACTTACAATAACCTTATGTAATTAAAAAATATAGGTGAGAGGCAAGCCCCCCTCCCCCAATGCACTAGGCCCACATATGGGACTAGAACCCTTCTAAGAGACATAAGTAAACATATACACATTTACTTAAAATGGGACGTGTAGATCAATACTCTTCAAAAAATACACAATAACAAATATGTAATGATTTCGTGCTTTTGGTTTTAGTTTCGGCAACCAACCATGCATCTCTTAGAGTTATATATCTACTCATTAGTGCGAGTGTATGAGCTAATTGGGCACTATATTTCTAGATGGGTTTACTGATCCTACCATGTATTTTTTTCTTTCTTTGATGATCAGATCAAATGATTGAGGCGATACTTATTGTTGTGACTAAGATTGATTCCTTTTAAATAGATGAAGCCATGTGGTACACCATATCTAAGCTCCCAAAAAAGTTACTAGTCTAAATGTCTAATAGAATTAGCAGTAAAGGTTGAGAAAATAAGAAAGTAGTTGGCCATGAGGAGCAATGTTATAAGGCCGATACGCACGATATACCTCACTGACAAAGTTCACAAGAGTTGTATCGGGGACATCTATAAGGTGGCCTACCAAGTTGAAGATGTAATGGATAAATACTCATACCATGTTCTTCAGCATGATGAACAAGGGTTCCTGAAGAAATTCTTCATCAAAGGAACATTACATCAATGTTTCCAGTGAAATTACAAATGAGGAAGTCTAGGTAGAGAAGAGATTCATGATGACATTCAATTTTCTATTCACTTCATTAATCATTTGGAAAAAATTAATACAATCTTTCATATTTTTTTGGTGATGTATGTAGTATAAAATATATCATCCATGCTCACTACCCCACTAAATTTTTTATGGAGTATGATTGACCAAAAAATGTTAACTGAGCTAGTTCATCTATACCAATACAAAAAGACCCAAAAGGGCAAAACCAATCAATCTGGGCTATTAAACCATGTTAATCCAATGACCTAGATTGCTCCAATGATGAGCGCTCAAGATGTTTATCATGCAATTAATATCATACTAAATATCAAGGTAGATGCTAATCACATAATTAACATGTGATTGATATTCTACCTAATATATATGAACGTGTAATTAATTTCCTCCAAAGTATTGATACGTCCATTTTCATCATGTTTTCTTACTATTATTTATTATGTTTTGGGTCATTATTTTTACTTTATGATGCAATTCTAATGTCTTTTCTTTCTTATTTTGCAAGTTTCACATGAAGAGGGAAATTGCTGTTGGGAACGAACAATGAAAATAAAAAAATCCTACGAACACCCAAGATCTATCTAGGAGAAGCATAGCAACGAGAGGGGAGAGTGTGTCTATGTACCCTCGTAGACCGAAAGCGGAAGCGTATATAACCTGGTTGATGTAGTCGTACTCTTCGCGATCCGATCACGATCCAACCAATCTAGCGCCGAACGGATGGCACCTCCAAGTTTAGCACACATGTGGCTCAATGACGTATCCTTCTCGTTGATCCAGCAAGATAAGGCGGAGAATTAGATGGGATCACATCCAGCATGACCGCGTGGTGGAGATGGTGGTGGTGGAGCAATGGCAGCGCTTCGCTAAGCACAAAACTGTGGACGAGTGATACGTCTCCATCGTATCTACTTTTCCAAACACTTTTGCTCTTGTTTTGGAATTTAATTTGCATGACTTGAATGAAACTAACCTGGACTTACGCCGTTTTCAGCAAAATTGCCATGGTGTTGTTTTTGTGTAGAAATCAAAGTTCTCAGATTGATTTGAAAATTTACGGAGAATATTTTTGAAAAATATAGAAAATACTGGTGGAAAAATATACTAGAGGGGGGCACCTAGGAGCCACAAGCTCAGGGGGCGCTGACGGTGTCCTGGACTAGAGGGTACTCACCACGTCGTCTCCCGATTAGTAGGATTGGGCCGAGGACCCCCATTACCGTTGACTCATGGGCCAGTCCGGATAGCCGAAGTATACACAAGGAAGATTCTACAAGACTTGGTGATCAAGACAAGGACTCCTCCCCACC